TGCATTTATGATGTATGCATGTGTAATACACATGTTTGCTGAATGCATGTGTGATGTGTACATGTGTGATGTTTACATTTGATTTGTGCATGTGTAATGTGAAAATATGAGGCGTGTAATGTTAAAATTAGTATGGAAGAATAATCAAGAGTACTTCTCAATCACATATTCCCAGAATATATATATATTTTTTTCCCGAGCTCAAATGAAATTGCGTCATTTTTTATTAGAAAATATTTTAATCCCTAAACAATTATTTTACTACTAAACTAAAGCATAACAATTATAAATCAATTTACTTTATAGCCTTTATGGCCTAGATTTTTTTTTTTTTTTATAGATGAAACATGATGATTATAACAATTAAGTTCACTGTATACTACTAGCTGTGTAGCGCCTGTAAGTGTTAATGTGTTTTCTGCCTTATCACTTTCCTTGGCAAAAATTACTACCAACCAGAACAAGTTCAATTCCTCTAGGAAGGGAAAAATACAAAACTTGGAATATATAACCACCTGTATTCAGAGAACATTTACCCAGCCTTTTGAAGGACTCCGGGAAGGTGTTGCCCGGAATAGTACAAAGAAAAACCAGAGGTCTGAGTCAACACCGGGCTCTGGTTATTTTCACAATATTAATCCTGACAAAAAACAAGCGCGGATGGAATAACTGTTCGGTGTTTTTCGTTTGAGCTGCACCAAAGTTGGTGTCACAAGATTTTGACAACACACAAGTTACTACAACTTGATTAGGGATACAACAGGTGCTAAGGCCACTGAGGGTGTTAGAGTAAAGTGATTGTGAAGTGTCTCAATTATCACAACAAATGATCCAACGACTCCGATGATGTAAGGTGTGTAGGAGTGTTTTTTTTTTTTTTTTTGCTTTATGATTTTTGCTGACTGTTGCTGGAGATATTTGATTAAGCACAGCGAGACCTTGCTGTCAGTAGGGTGCAAGGATTGGCGTCCCATGGGATCTCTGTAAAACAAGCTTCACAAGAGTATTAGTTGTGAATAGTTTATTTGTAGTTAACAGTCTGTAGCAGGTTATTCACCCTGCTGGAGCAAGGACAGCAAGCGCTATACAAGAGGAAGATACTTTGTCAAATTAAAAGAGATTATACAAGTATGGATAACGGTTGGATAGTTAAAAGGTGTTTAATAGACTAGCTGTAAGAACTAATGTTTAAAATTCCTCTTTAAATTCTCTGTACTTCCAAAAACTAATGAGGTCTAAACAAACATAATAATTGTTAAAACACTTTTCATTTAAATAAAAAAAAAAACTAATTTATAATTTATTTTTACTTAAAGAAATGATAATAAACTCCCAATTATTTACAAATTTGTTTTCCTTACTTGTGGCTAAAAATAAATACCAGCCTTGCAATCAGAGAATCAAGGGTTCAATGATAACAAAAATAAAATTAATAATTTTAGCACACAGCAATTTCAGCATGGTTTGTTTTTGATTCTGTAATTTCCAAGCCAACTCTTTGTTGGATGTTGTTGAAAAACAATACTTGAAATGTTGCTATTTAGAAAAATTCCATTTTCCCAGCCAGGATTCAAACTTGGATGGTTTCCATGAAAGGAAATTCACATTTACATAATTAAGAACCTTCCAAGTAACTTATTGTTTCACTTTCCATTACGATTTGAATTTGCTTGTTTGAAATTTTATTTCAAATCGTCTGTAAGTTTAAATTAATTCAAATGTATTCACCCTGCTGGAGCAAGGACAGCAAGCGATATACAAGAGGAAGATACTTTGTCAAATTAAAAGAGATTATACAAGTATGGATAACGGTTGGATAGTTAAAAGGTGTTGTGTGTTTAATAGACTAGCTGTAAGAACTAATGTTTAAAATTCCTCTTTAAATTCTCTGTACTTCCAAAAACTAATGAGGTCTAAACAAACATAATAATTGTTAAACACTTTTCATTTAAATAAAAAAAAAAACTAATTTACAATTTATTTTTACTTAAAGAAATGATAATAAACTCCCAATTATTTACAAATTTGTTTTCCTTACTTGTGGCTAAAAATAAATACCAGCCTTGCAATCAGAGAATCAAGGGTTCAATGATAACAAAAATAAAATTAACAATTTTAGCACACAGCAATTTCAGCATGGTTTGTTTTTGATTCTGTAATTTCCAAGCCAACTCTTTGTTGGATGTTGTTGAAAAACAATACTTGAAATGTTGCTATTTAGAAAAATTCCATTTTCCCAGCCAGGATTCAAACTTGGATGGTTTCCATGAAAGGAAATTCACATTTACATAATTAAGAACCTTCCAAGTAACTTATTGTTTCACTTTCCATTACGATTTGAATTTGCTTGTTTGAAATTTTATTTCAAATCGTCTGTAAGTTTAAATTAATTCAAATGATATAAAGATTTGATCATTTGTTATATACGGTATTGTTTTCAGAAATATTTCAATAAATGCACAATCTAAAAAATTATTGTAGACAATGTATGAAGTGATGATTCCCCATTTTTAGAAGTCTCAATTAACCTAGAAATAGGTTTTTGTTCTTTTTGTTACTTGTTGTTCTTAAAAACATAAGATTCTCATACTTTTCTTAAGCCGTAATGTAAATTCAAATGTAATTAAACCATATTTACTTATCCAAATATAGACTGAAAAATAAACAGTTAATCTAATAAAAGTCTTGATAAAATTATTCTCCCTTACATGACATGTTGTTATGTTAAATGTATCCTCTTATAAAGTATCAGCATCCTAAATGGTGGGTGGATCTTGAAAATAAAATTTAAATATATTTAAGACAAACCTCTGGGGCATAAATATGCAATACTTATTAAAATATCATGAAGCTATCAAAAATGTTTTGAACCTAACAAGTTTTCTGCTCTAGGCTTAACTTATCGAGAGTAGCTTGAATGGTGACAGAAAATAACCACTGATCACGGTTGCACTGCGGGCTAAACTAAACAAACAAGACTTGAGTCTTCCTCTGGATCAACCTGCAACTCCGCTGGGACAAATGTTGCTACAGCTACCTTGCTTCTGGCAATCATAAAAAGTCTAAAAACTTTTCAACTAATCATATTTCTGGATCCTGTCAGGATATTCCTCGTTGTGGATATAATTATATAATGCCTAGATCAATAGTTTAATTTTTGGCACATAAAATTAAATTGGAACCAGCTTTTCAGCATGTGACAGGGGTGTTTAATGCACAACACTCAAGATTCCCCAGACTACCTTATCCATCCAAAAAAACCCCAAGATTTCCTAGGCTAACTTTATTTTACTTCCATCCTAAAATTTCATAATTATTTCTTCCAGCTATCCATCAGAACTGTAGTCAGTCATCCATAGAAAAATGGCCCATGTGACCATAAACCCATGCATGGTAACTCCTGATAAAACATTAGTAAAAAGTTTAAAAAAATTAATGTTTATATTTTTTAATTAGTATTTATACCCAAGAGAATGTGTACACATATTATCAAGTAAATTATAATATGCAAAAAAGATACACAAAAGCAAGTATTATAAATGTGAACACAATTATATATGAATGCTGAGAACTGATGTCTTGGATTGATTAAATGTAAAATACAATATATGAATATGGTCACAAACTCAAATATTAAAGTGAACACACTCAAATATAATTGTGAACACACCCTCAAATAATAAGAATGTGTACAAACAATAAAGTAATTTAATAAATTATGCATATTAAAGTATTAAAAATGTCTATATGCAAAAATCCAATCAAGTATAGAAATAATGTTTTTCATTAATTAATATAGATTTATATTATGTAAGTGTGTATTCACAACTTTTTGGTAGGAATGTGATTTTATAATCATACACACAAACAATTACAGGGTAGTGTGTAAACAAAAGCCATGTTGAACATGTACACACCTCTCTAAGGAGGACAATTTGCAGTTGTTAGTTTATGTTAATTTCCGACTCCCTTTCCTGGCAAATTTTAAGGAATGCCAAATAAATACTATTATCAATGTTATTAATCACAGGAAATAATGTATGCAATGAGTTTATAAACATAAGAAGCCAATGAGGTATACCATTTTGCAAATGTGATGAAGTAACATGAAACTATACAAATAAAAATCATGTATACATAATTACATCCAACATTATAATTTAGTTTTAGAAATATTTGGTCTTTATGTTTAGCTTTAAAATTCAGGGAAATCACAAATTCAACAAGAAAATCTGGATGCTGACAATTGATGTTCTTGGCAGTGATCAAGAAATCGATGCATGTCTGTGTGTCAATCAATATGTCAATTTCTCAATCAATCAATCAAGCCATCCTGAAATTGTTCGGATTAATAATCAATCAAGCGTTAAGATTTTAAATTTGAAAGCAAACGATGTCACTTAGGAAAATCAATCCACAAGTTTAAGGATTAATCGACTGGTTTCAAAATCTATCAAATGAGTGGTCAAATCGATTCCACAAACTGAATTCTCCTAACAAATGGAAATTCCTGATCCACGAAACTACGACAGCTGAAAGCCGTAGTCTCTGCGATTTAAAAAAATACATCTGAAAAATCTTCAGATAAGAAGCATTGCAAGTGTTGTAAAATTTAATATACTATCGTATATCCTCAATTTACAATGAGTTTTGCCATTAGCTTGCGCTTTTATTTACAAAAATAAATTATTGAATAAAACACATTTTAATTTCACATAGAACATGATTCCGTAATGAATACCTTGGTTTTTTGATATGTACATTCAGTATGTGAACTTAGGTATAGATATGTCACCTAACATTAAAAAAAGCACAGATGGATCATTCTTGATAGGTTGTTATATATAAAACCCTAGAATCATTAAAGCTACTTGTAATATAGTAGTTAAAACGATCTATTGCTCTTCCCCATAATCCTCTTTACTCTATTACTACGCTATTACGGGCTACACGGCACATTTCTGATCAATGACCGTTTTTAATGTGATAGATCCACTTACCTTTTGTGAGTTACTGTCTGGCTGGGCATCCTTCTCGTTACTGGTCCCATTTTCTGGGTGGTGTTTCTCCTCCGTATGTACATCTTCCTCCATTTTAAACATCTTGGCAGCATCTATTCGGGGCAAGAACACACGTTTCATTTGATGAGGTTTTGTCTACTCGTTTTTAGACCTGCATGTCGGTCAGAGTTTGGCAAACAAGTCTTATGCAGTGTACTATATATTCACATCCTAAACTACACAACTACTCAGGATGTTGTTTTATCTGCACCGAAAATGAATTTAGGTCGCAGCGAAATTTAGAAAATACTGGAAGTCTTTAATCAAAATTGTTAGTAGGCTAGACATGGGTGCTATCGCAACGACTCTCACACCGGCCAACCTGTTACATCGTTTATTAAGAAAAATTTCTGTTTTTATGAATTGTTTATGAGTTAAGTTCATAGTTTCTAATTATCCCCATGTTTTCACTTGTTAATCCTAATTAGATCTAAATATCAGCTTTTAATTTACTACAAAATTGCTTAATTAATTTATAGATGCATAATTGTTATTGACAGTAACGTGGGACGTACAGACGTAGTTTTGAAAGTTCTCTCTTAATCTGTCTCCGAGACAGCAATAAACTGTGGTGCGTACACGTAGGATGACCTTAAATTAATCTTTAACCTCTGACTTCAATTACTTTGAATGGCTTTTAAAAATATTCACTTCAAAAAGGAAGAAAAATAGAGTTGAGCACAATTGAGAATCAGTTGACTTTTATTAATTTGACTGTGTTGCTTGTTAATTTGCTACTAAGTGGGTAAAGATGATAGTGGTTCAGCATGACTGCGTCAAATTGTGATTAGTAACGGTGATGTCAACAAAGTTGGACCAAAATGCTGCTTCAATACTAATTAAGATGTTTATCATTTGGAAGTGAAAATTAACAATTTTAAATTCCCAATTTGATTAAGGAAAATTTGGAATTTTTATTTATTTATTTTTTTAATAGTATATTTAAAAAATTTCCGATTCACTATGGAATTGTTCGCTATTAACAGGATAAAACTATACGATGCTTTAAAACTAAGTTTCATCAAGGGAATAGCCGCGAGAAAAAAAAAATCTTTTTTTAAGTGCTTTGAACCTAGGATCTTGAGACTAAATGTATGCAATTTAATCACCAAGTATTGACTCCAATCCATTTCAACATATAAGGATACAATTTCAAATTAATGTAATTCTGAATTATAAATAATTTAAAATATGTATTTAAATTATAAAGAGGAGCTTAGAAATGTGAATGACTACTAACATGCATGTACAAAACAGAAATTGGGAGTGTTCTGTTATATGCCTACCTGTATTTGTCAAAAAAATATGTCAATGGCAATGAGAAGAGTGACACTGATAGATAGCTTGCTGCTACAATTACGATTGACAAAACAATTGGATATGATTGCTTGTTGTGTAATCATTACTCACCGGGGTTACGAACCGGGGTGGAGCTTTTCCTTTTTGAGTGCTCACGTTCTGAGTTTGTAAGATGATCAACGTCATTGATCACATGCTGGTCTGGGATTCGGTACCCCACATAGTGGGTGTTATTTCGATCTAGATGAGTTTCGTCGTAGTAAATTGGCGGCATTGTGGGTTCAGTTTGTAGGGAAAGGGGCGAGGCCATCTGGTCTCTAGAGGGACACTTCTTCATGTGGTCTCGCAATGATGCTTTCTGCTTGTATGCCAAACCGCACCATATGCAAATATGCGTTTTGTCACTAGAATGAGTCTGTACGTGAGCCATTAACGCATCACGTCGTCGAGCCCCATAGGGACATAAGTGACACTTGTATGGTTTTTCTTCCGAGTGAGTTTTTATGTGCCTCGTCAAATTACCTTTTTGTGAAAAAGCAAACCCACACACATGACATTTGTGTGGGCGGTCCCCTAAAAAACAAAGAAACAAATTGATGAAACATTATCACTAACATTTTGTTACAATGGAAATAGTTTGGATTATTATATTCAGTGAATATTGAAAACACACACACACAAAAAAAAACACCGAGATAATCCAAAATAGAGGTAGAAGTATGTATACAAAATATGGTAGCAGAGTTAAGGGAATTAGGTGGAATAGAGTGATTTCCAAAAGTAAACTTCTTTGTGATTACCGTAACTAATGGTATACATAATTATCAACAAAAGTAGTAACTGTATGAACCCCTTCCTATATCAGAACATAAGTAAAATAGTGTATGGTATGTTTATCAGTACAGTTACAATACTGTAAAACCTCAAATAGAAGCCCTGTGCTTCTCTTTTTTAGGATCCTTGGATGGGCATCTTTTCGAAATGGGCTTCTTTTCAGGATTACTTTTGGAAACTAAAAAGAAAGCCTTCTTTTCAAAAAGAATGCTGTAAGTGTAAACTTTAGGATTGCTACTATACCGCATTTTACAACTATGGAATTCGAAATTCTGTTTAATGTTTTTAAAATTTTTACCATGCTAGGGCACAAAAGAAGCCCATTATCTTGATTAAAAGTCCATGGGTTCATTCTAGATGGGCTTCTTTTCGCAATTTCGCACTCTGAAATGAAAAGGGGCTTTTTTCGAGATGGACTTTTGCTGAAGATTAAGCCCATGGGGCTTTTATTCGAGGTTTAACAGTATACGATGAGCACTTCTATATTGATAACACAGTATGAGTACTTAGGGAATGGCAACAGCTTGTTTCTAGGTTACCGTATAGTAAGAAGTAAAGATATATGACCAGTATGGATACTGTATGAAAGTAGCTGAAATCTGGCATGTTCCAGGTATGTCAAGTAGGTCAACTACTACAAGTTGCTAGGATAATAGCAAGTACCTGGAACATGCTTATAAGAAGTTGCTAAGCTACTAATGTATATGTGGCAAAGACAAGCCAAACCAGTCACTTAAATAGTAAAATGAGAGCTATAAAATGGCAAAAGAATCATTTAAATCCAACATTTCGTTATGAAGTTACAGGAGTTAAAACATACAACTGTAAAAAAAGAATAATATTTGAGAAATCAGCCTTCAAAGTTTATGATTTTGGGCATTTCTCATGCAGAAACCATTACCAAATCGGTAAAAATTGTTATTTTAACATTGAAAATAGGAAAAATATAAATATATAAAGGTTAGTTTAGTGTAATAAAATAGATTTTAAAAATGTTGACATTCCAGCATGTTTTGGCCATTATCTCTGAAACCGGATTTGCAATCAGTGACTGGTTTGGCTTGACTTTGCCACATATGGTAAGTAGTCAGGATACTGGACGTTGCTAGGATGTAGCAAGTTGCTAGGATATGGCCTGGTACTGCCTGCCTTGTATACAGGAAATTGCTATTTTTCTTTTGGTCTGTTTCATTTTCCATGACATAACAAACATAATTTATTAGCTAATAAACAAATAATTAAATAGTAGAATCATGATTTCTAGCTATTTCGAATTCAATATTGTCATAAATGTAATTCCGAATGAGGACTATTATGTTTCAATTAACTTTTAAACTTGAAAAATAAAAAAGAAAAGAAAAAGGGAATTACATAGCAATCACTAAACCTATGCTGACAACCTATAAAGGATAAATTACTTAGAATGAATGTGTACCATTAATTCTTCTTCCATGAAAATCTACAGCATTCAATACAAAGATGTCTAATGCAAAACAATACATCTCCTTCAGGGGTAAAGGGTTAGAATGAGAAGTAGAACATGTTAGAAGATAGCCCTGATTAACTGCTTCAACAAACTCCATTTTAAACAATTTATCACATTAATGCAGAGAACTACAATTGAATTATGAACCTTGTTATACCAATTCCAATCCAGGATTTTATGTAATCATTTTCGTAAAATCAAACAATTGATGTTGATTTATTTAAAGTCAAGACAATACAGAAACATGATAATTTTATATATTTTTTATATATTTGTTTTAATCTAGAAATTAATAATGCAAAATGAAAAGAGAAAAATAGAAATATAAAATCAATGTCACAAGGCATGCAGTATTATAATTTTTACAAAATATTAACCACAAAATTATAAAAATTCTTGCTAAATTGCTCTATATATTTAGCACTCTTACATCAAAATATGGCATTTATAAATTTGAGAAGCTAGTAGTAATATTCATAATCAATGTAAAACTCGCAATAACAGAATATGAAGTTCATGAACAAAAATTTTGCAGGGGATGTAGTCGTGCGTTAACTTATTACACCTCATTGGATTGGGCAAGCACCCATCAAAGCGTGTGGTGCAGTAAACATCACCAATGAAAAATCACCCTGCCAGCGAAAGTTTTGGTGACAATTTATCTTCTACACTTAGGTCTAAACTTGACACTGTCTCCCTAAAAATGTTAGATTGGTCAAAATGATACATCTTTGCCAGATTCAGAAGTGAGAAGTAGGTGCATATGCCACCCAGGGTAATTATTACTTAATCAGACCTAAGCGATGTTTAGCCGCAGCTCAACAATACATCAAAAGAACGCTGATGGTTCGCGGGAGCTCCGTAATAAATCATTGTTTGATGTTGTCACCGGGCTCAGCAAGGCATGTCAAAGGAGCTGGAGAGAGAGCATGTGCCAAGCTAGACTGAGCTAGACATATCATTTCTACACGTGATTGATCATGTTCAAGGTATCCATTTTCACGGCAGACAGGTTCGATCAATTATGAATTCGATTGGTTCCCAAAACAGGTGAGCGCTACTCAGTGGGTGCTCGATCATTTACCTCCGAGACGTTTATCAAACACGCAAAGTTTACATGTGTGAATTTTAATCAATTGTCAAGTGGAGTTTAAATGTTCGAAAAGATAGTAATTGCGAAGGAGGTTTAAGTGGGGATCAATCAATACTCGATGGGATTGTCCAATCATTTGTCATAGCTTGCCAAATCCATTTGTCAAGTATAAGGGTTTGTTTTATTAACAGCTAGATACAAGAATTAATTATAAAGTAAGTACTAGGATTTGGTACACCTCAGCTAAGATAAATAGCGACTTAAAGCATTATAATAAATATGCTATCGTTGAAGATAATTTAAGTTAATTAACGTGTAATATTTAGTCTGTTTTATTGGTATCGATTGGATTTACCTTTTGACTAATAGATTGTTATAAATCAATATCGAATAGTTATACGAACTCATTTTTATCAAGTGCAATATTGAAAGGAATTGAGGTTCAAAAGAAAACAGATGTTCAATACGGATTAATTGGGGCTGGCATGGCCGTGAGTATCTGTCAAGATGGATCACATAAAATTTTCTGATTTTCATTATTTTTTTTTTTCAATATTTTCTTAAGCGTCATTTTATGTACCCTGATTGGAAAGGTGTTTGTATTTAACATGTTATGTTATATTGCACATGACAGCAATGTGCTCTTAGCCTTTTGATTAGTTATTACAGTAGGAAAAGGGAAATTTTATTACAATGAGAGAAATAGAATTTATTACGAGTGAAAGGAAAATTGTATTACAATGAGAGATTTGAGATTAAAATCACTTCAAATTATAATCATTGTCATAATCACAATGATGTCATAACTGTTATGCTTACGTTATCCATGAAGAAGAATCGTGGGAGTGATGATGTCCAACAGAAATTTGAGTCAATTTTGTCATAGCTCCTGCAGCCATCAAACATGTTTAATTAAATTTGTATAAGATATCATCTGTGCAAACGCTGACCATGCCAGTTTGAATCACACATTTACTACATTTGGGAATGAGGCACGTAGGCTGGTACGACGAAAAAAAAAAACACACCACGCGTGAAATAATTTGCGATTTTTAATCCCTAGATGTAGAGGGAAAAGTTGATTTACTTCTGGATAATGTTTTGTTACTCATAACTTTCTTAATCTGTTACTTGTTGATAATTCTGGAAAATCATGATATCTAAGCCACGTCAAAGGTTAGATAAGGTGTTCAGGTGAGAATGTCTAATTAGAGCTAATCGGCTTCATAGGATGAGGCAAGCGGCGACACTAGAAATGCCCCGTAGCACGCTAGGTGTCACCGTGAGTCAAGACACCGCTTCCTTTGTCAACAACTGCTTACTCAGTCTTCCATTAACAGCGATCGTCACTCCGGGTGCTTCTTACCTTTTTTATAATTTCCCAGGGTATAATTTAGATGCTAAGATGTTGATAATTGTTATTAAAAGTTGGGTCATTTTAAAAAATCTAATATGTTTGCCTCTAGAATAAACCCAACAGCTTTGAAAGCAATTGCGTATTTATAGAATTGTGTTTATTCCCTTTAGTGTAATTTTGCTTCCAGTAAAATTTAGAGATAAGATACCAAACATAAAGTGTTTATATGTTCATATATTTTTATCAAAACAATCTTTAAAATTACCAGAGTTTATGAGCACAGATACATTAAGAAAGTTTTGAAAAAAAATTAGACTTCTGGCAAAAATATTTCAGAGAAATTAGTAATAAAATTGAAATATGACTCATTCACCAGTAATTATTATATCTCTATTGAAACAATGCACCTCATTATTAAATGCTTTCTATAATTATTTTACATATTTCTATTATTTACCCATTTATTTTTATTCAATTTCTCCTTAACTGACCTTATCATACATAGTACAACTAGCATAATTAGAATAAAAAACTTACTATAAAAATGAACATCTTCGCAAACACTTTGTAAAATGCTTGCGCTGAATCATCCATCTTAACACACAAATTGTTAATAATGGTACCTTAGACTGTAGAACACTACTTTTCCAGAGCTCCATTTTAATTACAATCTTTATTTCTATTTGATTTATACCCAGTGATTTATTCTACTGTTAAATCAGCGTCGATTTCAAGCGATCTTTCACGTTTGGAAAACAACAATTTTTCTGGATTTGGACAACTACAATCCTAATCACTTCTAA